TGGAAAAAAGAAATAACCCATTAAAATGGCAGTTCCTTCTCGTACACACATATTCCTTATGTGATAAGAAAATACTTGATACACACAAGTCATCGAGTCTTTATTGTCTTTTTGTGATAAGAAAACAATAATTCTATATAAGAAAGAGGTGTGAGACGTGAAGAGACATATAAGACAAGAAAAAAATTCTCTTTATCTAACACAAAAGAAAAGCTAAGAAATAATTCTTGTGAAGAACGTTTGTGATCGGATCTCAACGGTGCTACAACCCTGTATCGAATCCAGTTTATGTGAGTGTGGATACCAGTAGAGGCACAACACTTAAGTGCTAGGCAACCTCGAATTATTCAAATCCATCTTTCCGCTACAAAAATATCTAGGTATTTTCGAAACCATATAACCTAGATCTAATTTAGCATTTACACGAATCCTGAAAATTGAATCTTAAACTGATGTTTAAAAATAGTTATAAATCGCCTATGAATTCTAACAGTGGTATCAGAGTCTACGTGTATAATATTGAAATTGGTTTAAAATTAAATACTCAATTTAATATCAAGTAATTTCCATCACTTCATATGATTCATATAAATATAAATTGGTTTAAAATTAAATCTTCAATTTAATATCAAGTAATTTTTTAATCTTTGTCAACTGCCAAAACTTATTTCGTTGTGTGATGGACCTGTCAAGCAGGGTGTCCACTTCTATATAAGTGAGGCAGATGGTAATAGTTACCATATGAAGTGAGATTGGTTGACTTGACTAGGCTATCAAAATGGTTTTAGGCTTAGAGGCATATGTTGGATTGACATAAGATGTCATCCGACAACCAAGAGTTATATTAGATATAATTAGCAAAGTATGTTGCTTACCTAAAGAGCTAGACATTTGGACGATGAGCCAAAACTCACTTGAATTCTAGTAAAATGTGGATCTTGGATCATTATATTCAATTTGAGGATAATATTGTTTTGAATATAATGTGAGTTTTCTTAATTGTTGAGATTTCTCGAATTAATTGTTGAGATTTCCAATAATAAAATATTACTGAAACAAATTTCATTAATTCGAAAATAAAATAAAATGTATGTATACATAAACATCATATCATAAAATAAAATTCTTCCACTAGAATCAAGATCAGATCTTTAGAAATATAATGCCTATAGTAGCAGTATGACTCTCATGCTTAGGCCATAGAAGAGGCTTGGTCAAAGGATCAGCAACGTTTGCATCCGTCGAGACTCTNCTAATCTTCACATCTCCTCTATCAACAATA